GGAAGTCATAACTTCCGAAGGTATATAAGGCAGACCTCAGTGATACGCTGCATTACGCTTCCCTACCGACAAATTTTTGTGAGTACATAGGTTATCCAATTGAAGTTAGCTATGGTTTAATTGAAGTAATAAGCCAACTGTAGGAAGTCACTCAGTAATCCATCGCAATTGTTAACAGTGCTCTGAGCCCTACAACGTAAAGTCCCCATAGTGAGTGGTTCACGAGCATTACAGGATAGAAGTGGTCATAGCAATAGGTGGATCGTCTATGATCCCAGTACCTCTATCAATAACTCCCTTTTTTCCTGTGCGATTGTAGCTATCGCCATGCCCCAGCGACCGCCTTCACAACGGCAAACGAAGTCTGCTATCAACAAGACTTTATTTTTCGTCGGGAGGAAAGCATTGTCCTCACCAGTAAGTCTTCACAAATAACGCTTTTCTGCTTCTTAGGAGCCAGAACCAGAAGACGTCTTTGACAAAAGCTATGACATACTGCCCACTGGCGACGACCATGGCGAAGTCGCCGGTGGCAGTCCAGAGACTGGCGATAATGATCGCGGTTTACGTCTCTTGTATCGACAGCTGTTGGACTATACGGAGGAGGTCGGGTGCAATTATGATCGGCCGGGGTCTAGCACACCAGCGGCAGCTCAAGGCGCTGATCCGTCAGCAGCCGACAGCGACCGCTGCGGCTACTACCTACATAAGAACAGATCCCCTTACCGAGTCCCTCAGAATAGCTGCCGATTTCCGGCAACTGAATGTGAGGTTAATGGATAAGACCTTCGGGAAGAGCTTGTAAGCTGCACATTTGGTGATTAATACTTGCATTAAAGCGCTTATCTCAATGGTCTAGGTGGAAACACCATTCATGACTTTTTTAGTCGCATATTAGCCGCCGTTTTTGAGGATGAAATGAGCTTACACGTTAACTCCGAGGGAAAGAAGTCCGAACAAAACTTGCAGGACTCGAAATTTAACGAGTGATCTACAAGGTACCTTCAGGCTACTCAAAATTTCTTGGAAAGCGCCTGTTGGCTACGGCAGAAGCGGCCGCCATCAGGTTACGCCGACCGATCCTGTGCGCCCAAAAGAACTTCGTCGCGGCGCCGCAGTT